AATAGGTCTAAGTTGATCAGCTACCGAAACGGCAAGATGTTGCATGATTCCTTAGACTTATTTGTGGTATTTTAAAGATGCACTAAAAATTGTGTGTTGATTTTGTGAGCAGGAAGGCTTCTGCAGGTCACAGCTTTCCGAGGTATAGGTTGAGTTTGAGGCCCGCAAGAGGGCGCTCGCGGAGGGGTGCCATGGCCGACCTGAGTGAGAATCCCAGACTAAATAAGGGATCTTTTCCAAGAGAAGAAAGCAAGAGAAAAACACTATTTCTAATACCTACATTCAAAAGCGCGAACGCTGTGAGCAGGATTCGAACCTGCGCGGGAAGACCCCATTGGATTTCGAGTCCAACGCCTTAACCACTCGGCCATCACAGCCACGTGCAAGTTGGGGCCTGTGCAACTATAGCTGCCTATGAATAATGCCTGCCTCTTGCCCGGCCTAGTCTTGAGATGTCTGTGCGCGTGCGCCTCCGCGGTGCAGGCCGCGCCTACCTTGCATCAGTCATCAGCAGCCCTACGGGCTTAGCAACGCTCAGCAACTTTTTTTTTTTTTTCTTCTCCCTCCTTGCCCCGAGGCACAGTAAGGCCACAACAAAATAAGCCTAAATCTGAGTGCAAGGGCCAACACCCTTGAAAGCAAAGAGTTGCCCGCTTTCCCCGCTACGCAGGGGAAAGTGGCAGTCAGAATTAATGCATACTGAAAGAGGACCGGAATGGAAGTCCCAAAGTAGGTGATAAGGCACTACGGAAAGTGCCTTGTTATGGAAATGTGTTGTGTTTGCCTCGCGGCAATAATAGCACTCTATTTTTGACCTAGGCACCGCTGGGATTCGAACCCAGGATCTCCTGTTTACTAGACAGGCGCTTTAACCAGCTAAGCCACGGCGCCGTTAGGATACATGTTCTGTATGCATATATCATGCTGTTTACAGGCACCGGTGGAAAATACAATACAACAGTAGTCTCAAGTCCTCAACGACTCATCCTTTCTAGGGTTACCCACTTCCTTTCCCTTCCCAGGTTCTGAGTCCTGAACCAGAGAGCTAACGGTCTGTCCCTTCCTTCTTCCACACCTTTGGGAGCCAACTTGACCATGTATGGGTATGTTACTCCCAGTCCTTTAGTCACCTAACACCTTCAGGCCTTCTCCCGTGTGGCGACAAAGTCAAATTCCCTCAACTGCTTCAGGACACTAGTAAGTTAAGTGGGCTTTTCCCCTCCTCAGGCACTGTGACACATGTTGGAGGTTGCACAAGCCCTTAGCCACAAGTTGCTTCTCATCACTCTTTC